TAAATAGGCAGTTATTCGTCATTTGGGGGGCTTTTTGCCCTTCCTCAGCACATAACCCTGCATTGGGACCTTCCTCTCACTCTGTCACTGCACACAGAATTGCCTGCTTACTAAGACTCAATTTTGTATTTTGGGTTAATCTTTAAGATGCCAGCCACTCATCTCCTCTAACATTCGTCCATCCTCACAATAATGCCTTCTGTACACCTTATAACTAAATTTGCTTTCTACTCCCCCATGTTATTGCCGAGAATGCTAACTAATAAATTTGGGTCTTGTTTTCTCAGAAAGTAAATACCTGATGGAGAGGGTAGAGAGAAGCTGTTATACATGCACGCGAACAGAAAACTGATTGCTTTTGTCCATGTATGTGAACTCTTGGAAATGGATGATTCTTAATACAATGTACCAAGGGATGTGCAGTTATGATGTGTCCTTAAACTAATGAATCACAATGTTCTTGTCGCTGACATGTGAGGATACATAAATGGACTCTAAAAGAGTCATAACTAGCATAACCATCCCCATCAAGGAACTATGGTGGTAATGAAAAAAGAAACATTGCCAGAGCGGCCAGGAGGGAAGATGCCCCCAAGAAGTTTCAAAGCCATGACATCATGAAGGATGGCACAGAGGGTATCATTGTTATATGTACAGGAAATAACACAGGGAAAGGAGGGCACTGTGGGTCAGGAGCAGGAGGACTAGAATCTTGAAGATAAAAGGCAAAACGGCCTCAGAAACTGTGAAAGGGATCAGAAACCAGTGTGTTTCTCTAACAGGACAATTGAAAAGTCAAGTATGGTCCTTCATGCCATTCAAACCTGAAGGTCCATAGTCTCTGATTCTGACTGACCTTTTCCTTGATTCTTTGTTCATAAAGCCACACCTGCAGGCCACAGAGTATTCTTTATGTGGAGGGATGGGTAGACAGGAGAGGGCCCTTCATTGCTTATGCAAAGACCTGTTCCTTCCTCTCATGTTCTTTCCCCAGTGTGGATTTAATCGGTAGTTTTCTGTCACTATCCCATAGGCAAAAGTTGCAGCTAATATCCCTTCGTGGAGTTTACCATTACAATGGCCACTGGCTCAGAGGACTGGATATTAGTCTGGGGCACAAAGCACAGAACCCAGAGCACCACAGTCTATAAACCACGAGCAACCATATTGTTCCTCCTATACCCTGACTTGATAATGGCTCACTCTTCGTGGTTGATCAGCTAAGTAAGATCCAGACCCCATATCTGTGTCACCAAGCCCTGGCACACATGAAAGTCTGCTTGGTTTGACCCATCAGGCCTCAATTCCAGTCAGCTGTTGGCTCATAATACCACCTCCAGGGCTGGCCAAGGGGTAATCCCAGGAGTAAACCCAGGCATTTACCCCACCGTCCCTCCTGTTTTTACCTAAAGAAAAATAAATTTGGTTGATGCTTAAGGACTGGATAAAAATCTGTCTTCCCAATAAACTTAAAAAAAAATTTCCTTTTGCCTCACTGATGCTCATGCCTTGCTAATTATAACCAGCATAGCTTCAATTCAGATATAATGACATCTTGTCTTAACTGAAAGCATTGAAATCTTATATTGTCATGATCACAAACAGTAATCTAAGAAAATATATAGAATCGCAATATTGGAATCTGCCAGGTACTAAAAAGACCTCGGCACTCTCCCCAGCTACAGAAAAAAATATAAAGAGTTGTATATGCAACAAATATTTATTAACTCCCTGTTACATCCAGGCTCTATGTTAAATGCTAGAAATACAGCATTAAATGAGACAGACTGTTGATCTTCTAGAAGCCTATCTACTAAGATGCATAGTGTAGATTGAAAGATTCAAGGAACATACCTCAGGCTAAATACTTCTTTCCCTGTGCCTCAGTTTCCCCATCTGTAAACTAAGGACAGAGTGAGAACAATGAAGTTTAAATTTTTAAAAATTAGATGTTTCTTTCCAATCATGCTCCAATAAAATCATATTTCAAGCCCCAATAGAGGAAACATATAAAACAATTGACCTATGAGTTTGTAACATAAAATAAAGTTTAATATGTAAAGCCTACTGTTTTGAAGAATGAGGAAAGAATTGGTTTCCCTAAACATAAAAAAATATTGTTTAACTGGAATCTCTCTGTAACATATATTTTAAATCAGTTTGACTCATTCTGACACTTATGAAGTAAAATTTCAAAAAATAACTGTTATACAAATGAATGAAAAAACAAATGTATACACTATACCAAGGAAACTTTCGCACCTTCTGTACATGTATTTGGATTCTTTAATACTGTATTCCCAAACATCTCCCAAGATGAATTGACCTCTAAAAATGTAAATAGATACTTCGTAACTTGTATATTTTAACTTTTTCTCTTAAAAAAATAGATTAGATGATAAAGGCCAAGTGGTTCGCATCAACTTCAATAATGCAACTAGAGACACAATATTTGATGTACCTGTTGAAAGAATTCAGCCTTTTTATGCTGCTCTGAAGGAGTTTGTTGACCTCATGAACTGTAAAGAATCCAAGTTCACTTTCAAGATGGATCCAGGTCAGTAAACACTTTTTCTCAGACAACTGAAAGGATAGATTTTCTTCAACTTTAGCCATTTAGGACACTATCTAGAGGTGCCTTTCCTAAGTAAATCATGTGGAACACTCAGCAGAATCTTTGTGAGTAGTCAACTTGCTTAACCAGAAGACTCCTGGCTGCTTCCCCCATTCTACTGACTCTCCAGACTTAAACATTTCGTTTTTAACAAGCTCCTAGGTAATATTTAAGCACACCACAATTTAATAATACCCTCCAACCTAAAGCATAACTATTTGAAAGACAAGCTATAAGCAAATGAAGCCTCATGTCTGGTTTCAAGAGTGATGACTTATGCTTTCTATCTTGTTGGCCAGGCAATACAAACTGAGGCAGGTACTTAATTCTACCTTGGTAAATGAATAAAATTATCCCCAAGATTCCCACTCTGAAGTGCATGAGCAATGTTTCCTCATCTAGCTTCTCTGATCTGGCAAAGATATTGCTACCTGAAATAATGTAGTGCTCTAAATATTCCAGCTACTTAAAATAAAGGAATTAGAAAGCACTGGGTTTTTCTGGACCATCCCTACTCAGTAAAATGACATTAAACTTGAGGCTTTTGATAGCTATAGTAAAAAGTATAATTTCTATCTGCTATCAATTTGGCCAAATAGAAGATTCTTTTCTCTTGTGGTTATTTTTTAATTGATTTTTGGCATAACAAAATAATACTAGAAATCTTCTTAAATCCTCTACTATGCAGTCAAAGCAGGTTGATTTTAAGAGCAATAATATGCAAAATGGAAATACCATAGCAAAAAAACACTGAAAAATAGGAGTTGGAATCCAAGCTCCACCATTTAATGGCAGTGTACTTTTGGGCAAATCCCTCCACATCTTAGACCCTCTATTTCCTCAGGTATGAAAAAATGAGATAATACTCTTCAGGATCTTTATGAAGCTTTGAAACAATGTATGTAAAATAGGAGCATAAAAGGCACACCAAGAATGTCACCATCCTTAAAATTACTTGAAGCTTTTAAATTGGAAAGAACCATTTCTAAATACAGTAGTAACAATCAGGAAAAACAATTCAAAAGTTTTGCACAGAGCTTTTAAGTAAGAGATAAAAGTGTCTGTGGGAGCCTGCCAAACTATGTAGTTTAAGTGTCAAAAGGTCTAAAGCGGTTTGCAACCAGTGGCCTGATCTGTGTGGAAAAATAAATGTACAGTTTTATGCAAAGAAATGAACATATCATTTCTTGATGTGAGATATGCAAACAATGATATTTTTGTGCATTTTCTAACTCTGCAAACAATTTTTGGCACAAACACATAATTATTCATGCTGAAAATATCCTCTGTCTAGGTGATGTGATTACTTTTGATAACTGGCGCTTACTGCATGGCCGGCGCAGCTATGAAGCAGGCACTGAGATTTCCCGCCATCTAGAGGGAGCATATGCTGACTGGGATGTGGTAATGTCGAGGCTTCGGATCTTAAGGCAGAGTGTCCAGAATAGAAACTGAGTCTCCTGTCTGTCATTTCAGGAAGATTTCAATGATCGTATTTTGTAAGATATGGCAATGTTATTTCTCTTTAGAGACCATGATCTCTGTCATTTGCATAATTGATTTCTTTACCACTGAACATGTCATCTTTCTCACAAATTTTCTTTGTAATCATACACAATGCCAACTTAGATGTTGTAGCAGTGTTCTCCTCTTTCCACATAAAGCATTCCTTCTGTTCTATTGCATGTATGATCTAATTTCTTTTGCCCATATGTGAGAATCTTCAGAATGCCTATAGTTTCATAGCAAATAAAACTTTTCTTCAAAATAAAGCCTTTTTTAACATACAACTTGTGTTTCAAATAAACTTATCTCAAATAAAATGTTTCTTTGTTTCCTACAGACTCATTTTTCATCAATGCATATGACTGTCTTTAGCACACTTGCAAAAAATCTTCATACTTCAAAGATCTGTTTTATTCACTTTTATTACATAACCCAGAGCACCACAGTCTATAAACCACGAGCAACCATATTGTTCCTCCTATACCCTGACTTGATAATGGCTCACTCTTCGTGGTTGATCAGCTAAATAAGATCCAGACCCCATATCTGTGTCACCAAGCCCTGGCACACATGAAAGTCTGCTTGGTTTGACCCATCAGGCCTCAATTCCAGTCAGCTGTTGGCTCATAATACCACCTCCAGGGCTGGCCAAGGGGTAATCCCAGGAGTAAACCCAGGCATTTACCCCACCGTCCCTCCTGTTTTTACCTAAAGAAAAATAAATTTGGTTGATGCTTAAGGACTGGATAAAAATCTGTCTTCCCAATAAACTTAAAAAAAAATTTCCTTTTGCCTCACTGATGCTCATGCCTTGCTAATTATAACCAGCATAGCTTCAATTCAGATATAATGACATCTTGTCTTAACTGAAAGCATTGAAATCTTATACTGTCATGATCACAAACAGTAATCTAAGAAAATATATAGAATCGCAATACTGGAATCTGCCAGGTACTAAAAAGACCTCGGCACTCTCCCCAGCTACAGAAAAAAATATAAAGAGTTGTATATGCAACAAATATTTATTAACTCCCTGTTACATCCAGGCTCTATGTTAAATGCTAGAAATACAGCATTAAATGAGACAGACTGTTGATCTTCTAGAAGCCTATCTACTAAGATGCATAGTGTAGATTGAAAGATTCAAGGAACATACCTCAGGCTAAATACTTCTTTCCCTGTGCCTCAGTTTCCCCATCTGTAAACTAAGGACAGAGTGAGAACAATGAAGTTTAAATTTTTAAAAATTAGATGTTTCTTTCCAATCATGCTCCAATAAAATCATATTTCAAGCCCCAATAGAGGAAACATATAAAACAATTGACCTATGAGTTTGTAACATAAAATAAAGTTTAATATGTAAAGCCTACTGTTTTGAAGAATGAGGAAAGAATTGGTTTCCCTAAACATAAAAAAATATTGTTTAACTGGAATCTCTCTGTAACATATATTTTAAATCAGTTTGACTCATTCTGACACTTATGAAGTAAAATTTCAAAAAATAACTGTTATACAAATGAATGAAAAAACAAATGTATACACTATACCAAGGAAACTTTCGCACCTTCTGTACATGTATTTGGATTCTTTAATACTGTATTCCCAAACATCTCCCAAGATGAATTGACCTCTAAAAATGTAAATAGATACTTCGTAACTTGTATATTTTAACTTTTTCTCTTAAAAAAATAGATTAGATGATAAAGGCCAAGTGGTTCGCATCAACTTCAATAATGCAACTAGAGACACAATATTTGATGTACCTGTTGAAAGAATTCAGCCTTTTTATGCTGCTCTGAAGGAGTTTGTTGACCTCATGAACTGTAAAGAATCCAAGTTCACTTTCAAGATGGATCCAGGTCAGTAAACACTTTTTCTCAGACAACTGAAAGGATAGATTTTCTTCAACTTTAGCCATTTAGGACACTATCTAGAGGTGCCTTTCCTAAGTAAATCATGTGGAACACTCAGCAGAATCTTTGTGAGTAGTCAACTTGCTTAACCAGAAGACTCCTGGCTGCTTCCCCCATTCTACTGACTCTCCAGACTTAAACATTTCATTTTTAACAAGCTCCTAGGTAATATTTAAGCACACCACAATTTAATAATACCCTCCAACCTAAAGCATAACTATTTGAAAGACAAGCTATAAGCAAATGAAGCCTCATGTCTGGTTTCAAGAGTGATGACTTATGCTTTCTATCTTGTTGGCCAGGCAATACAAACTGAGGCAGGTACTTAATTCTACCTTGGTAAATGAATAAAATTATCCCCAAGATTCCCACTCTGAAGTGCATGAGCAATGTTTCCTCATCTAGCTTCTCTGATCTGGCAAAGATATTGCTACCTGAAATAATGTAGTGCTCTAAATATTCCAGCTACTTAAAATAAAGGAATTAGAAAGCAGTGGGTTTTTCTGGACCATCCCTACTCAGTAAAATGACATTAAACTTGAGGCTTTTGATAGCTATAGTAAAAAGTATAATTTCTATCTGCTATCAATTTGGCCAAATAGAAGATTCTTTTCTCTTGTGGTTATTTTTTAATTGATTTTTGGCATAACAAAATAATACTAGAAATCTTCTTAAATCCTCTACTATGCAGTCAAAGCAGGTTGATTTTAAGAGCAATAATATGCAAAATGGAAATACCATAGCAAAAAAACACTGAAAAATAGGAGTTGGAATCCAAGCTCCACCATTTAATGGCAGTGTACTTTTGGGCAAATCCCTCCACATCTTAGACCCTCTATTTCCTCAGGTATGAAAAAATGAGATAATACTCTTCAGGATCTTTATGAAGCTTTGAAACAATGTATGTAAAATAGGAGCATAAAAGGCACACCAAGAATGTCACCATCCTTAAAATTACTTGAAGCTTTTAAATTGGAAAGAACCATTTCTAAATACAGTAGTAACAATCAGGAAAAACAATTCAAAAGTTTTGCACAGAGCTTTTAAGTAAGAGATAAAAGTGTCTGTGGGAGCCTGCCAAACTATGTAGTTTAAGTGTCAAAAGGTCTAAAGCGGTTTGCAACCAGTGGCCTGATCTGTGTGGAAAAATAAATGTACAGTTTTATGCAAAGAAATGAACATATCATTTCTTGATGTGAGATATGCAAACAATGATATTTTTGTGCATTTTCTAACTCTGCAAACAATTTTTGGCACAAACACATAATTATTCATGCTGAAAATATCCTCTGTCTAGGTGATGTGATTACTTTTGATAACTGGCGCTTACTGCATGGCCGGCGCAGCTATGAAGCAGGCACTGAGATTTCCCGCCATCTAGAGGGAGCATATGCTGACTGGGATGTGGTAATGTCGAGGCTTCGGATCTTAAGGCAGAGTGTCCAGAATAGAAACTGAGTCTCCTGTCTGTCATTTCAGGAAGATTTCAATGATCGTATTTTGTAAGATATGGCAATGTTATTTCTCTTTAGAGACCATGATCTCTGTCATTTGCATAATTGATTTCTTTACCACTGAACATGTCATCTTTCTCACAAATTTTCTTTGTAATCATACACAATGCCAACTTAGATGTTGTAGCAGTGTTCTCCTCTTTCCACATAAAGCATTCCTTCTGTTCTATTGCATGTATGATCTAATTTCTTTTGCCCATATGTGAGAATCTTCAGAATGCCTATAGTTTCATAGCAAATAAAACTTTTCTTCAAAATAAAGCCTTTTTTAACATACAACTTGTGTTTCAAATAAACTTATCTCAAATAAAATGTTTCTTTGTTTCCTACAGACTCATTTTTCATCAATGCATATGACTGTCTTTAGCACACTTGCAAAAAATCTTCATACTTCAAAGATCTGTTTTATTCACTTTTATTACATAATTCTATTATCCAAATTTCTAGGCCCCTACAACCTGGTGATCTCAACATTTCCTTTAACACCTGAATTATGACACCATATCTAAGCATGACAAATTAAGAGAAAATCCAAGCTCCCTAATCTTCTCTTATCCTAAATAAATACTCCTCAGAACTGCCAGCATAGCTTACACCTGTCCATGAATCAGTTCTCATTCCTTGCCTTCAGCTGATAACTAAGAAAGGTAGAGCCAGGGTGCATGTACCATTTATAAACAGACACAATGTCTGCTAACCTCTAGACAGCTTCACCTGCTGGTTTTGGCTTTTTCCATGGCCACTGACTTGTCCCCAATGTTGGGATACAGATGCCACTGCCAGTGATGGAAGTCCCACTCCTGTTGAGACCTGTCCCTTCCCTACCCTGCTGAAAAGAGAAGTCTCAGCATTATCATTTTCTGACAATCTGTACATATATTTTTAGTCCATCTCTTTTGGGCCTTAGCCAAGCCTCCTATTTTGAAGGTCTTCATCACTGTCACCTCTACCTGTAGCCTTAAAGTCAATAGAAACACTATGTCCATCCATGTTTAACTTGCATCACACCTGCAGTGTGACTGTGTACTGCGAGTCTGCATCAAGAGTGCCCCAAGCCCAGATCGGCACACCCCTCTGACTCAACTCTGGTAGTGAGTCCACATCACTAGCACAGACACTGTTCCTTTCTGGGCCCTTCACTGTCCTTTCCTATGATCTGGTTTGGTTGGAGTTACAGTAATGCATCACACATGTTTGATTCCTTTGAATTTAACTGGGTTGAGTCTCGGTACCATCTCTCCTAAGACACTGATAGAATGAAAACAGGTGAGTTCAATAGGGGCAGGACCCCATTTTGAGAAGCAGCACTGAATACCTAAAGACAAACAGTTTTCCAGAGTGACCCTAGTTCCATCCATTTAGAGTATCTAAATTCCAGGCACTTGCCAAGCTAAAGTGACTTACTATACTTTTACTCATTCAGCAGATATTTGTCACATATGTGTTAATATAAGGCACTCTGCTAGACTTGGAACACAAAAAAACTTGAGATGTGCCCTGCTTATAGTCTGGTAAGGGAACAGATAAGGATGATGTTAGGCTAACAGAGTGTTTATAAGATGGCAATCAAGACAGAGAAAGGGGGTTCATGAAAGCTTCATTTGAAGCTCAAAGTTTGAGTTAAATGAGATTTAATAGTAGTTTTACAGGGAAAGGTGGGAAAGTGACTTTCCAAGTTAAGATGCTGAGAGAATTAAGACAGAACACCTAGCACATAAGAGAGAATAATAGACTAGCAGTGTTGTAAATTCTGGGATTTGGTGCCTAGGTTCAGATGGTAATGATGACAGTCACCCAGTCTTTGGTCAAATAACTTTTTCTCATAAGCCTTGGAAATTTCTATCTACAAATGAGACTAATAACAGTTCTTATCACATGAAATGTTTATGAGGTGTGAATAAAATGAAAGTTCCTGTGGCCAGAATTCTCACCTGGCCCTGGTCATCCAGCTCACTACACACATGTGGGCAATACGTTGCTATTGACTCTATATAAAGAGCTCCGCCCAGTGCTCTGCACCACATGGTGGCCCGGCTGCAAGGCTGCAGGAGGGCCGGGGCTGGAGTGGTGGCAGCACTGAGGACAGAGGCTCAGAGGACGGCTGTGCGGGCAGAGGGACCCAAAGACAGACACCAGCTTGCTGCATGCAGACTCACTCTGAGTGGACAGGATTCTAGTGATTGACATGCCAGTGTGGGAATAAAGTTGGGTATAACCCTTTCACTCCAAGAATGTTCCACTATCATTTGTTTGGTCACACTGAACCCACAGTGAACTTCCCTGGGGCTGAAAGCCACTGGCAAGACATGAGGATGATGTAAAGCTCATGTAAAGCATTATTTTCCCCAAACTCCTCAGATGGTAATAGTCACTGTCATGTTTTGTGGCTGTTTATTTTTTTAAATACAACTTCCCAGACTCATTCCCAGAAGACATGACTCAAAGGGCCTGGGATAAAGCCCAGGAGCTGCACTTTCAGTGAAGATCCAGGTGATATTCATCACCAGAGAAGTCTAGGAAATACTGGTGTGAAGAGCATAGTTTCCAGCTGAGGGTATGTACTCAGTAGATACTGACTATTATTCTCTGTAATCACAGAGGTTGTAGAGGGATGGGGTGGGTACAGACAGTGAGAAGAAATATATGAGGCTAGAGACAGAGCCAGGGCCATGTCATAAAATGTCAAAATGTATATTGCACTAAAGAGCAGATATTTTATCTTGAAAGCAATGAGAAGCCATTTAAAGATTTTTTAGCAATGAAGTGCCTTGATCAGATATTCATTTTTTAAAAATCCATCTGGCTACATTGTACAGGGAATTATAAATGAGCAGGACTAGAGGCTATAAATATACTTATGAGGTTATAAATCTACTTACTGCAGGAAGCCAGATGAGAAATTAAGAAGGATTGAATTAGAGTGCCTGGGAGAAGGAACAGGAATGGAGAGACACTTAGAAGGTTAACTCCAGAGGACTCAATGACCCACTGCACGTAAGAAACGGAGGTGTGTAGGATGTCTGCTGGGTTTCTAGTTAGGAGGACTGAATTAACAGTGATTCCATGCACAAGAAAAGAAGTCACAATAGCAGAAATAAGCTTATGGGCAAGAAAAAGAATCCAGTTTTGAAAAGACTGAAACTTGAATTGCCCATGAGCTCGTCTGTTTGGCGGTTGGATGTACACATATACACAACTCAGGACAGAGACCTGGGCTAGAGATTCTCCATTTGGAAAGTATATAGATGGTGGATGCAATCATTACTTGTTTTCCTGAGACATTGAGTGATTGTGACCAAGGTCACAAGTCTCATGGTATGCTGATAAGCTAGTGATATTGGCCTAGTTTGTGGAATCAGTTACACTCTAAACATAAAGAATCAGCAATGGCTTAAATTCAAAATCTGCTAGACCTCTTACAAATCCCATTTTGTCACTAGAAGACAGCCTCCAAGCCAGCGCCCCGTGGCCTGGTTGCTTCCTTCTCTGACAAAAAAATTAGTTCTGCCCTGGAAAGGAGGGACAGAAGGACTGGAGACAGTTGCAGCAATTTCTGAAGTGTTATATAGGACATGACATATTATGGGCTATGACAGCTGGTGCCAACTAAGGATGATTAGGTTTCCTGGACTTATTAGTCTAAAGATTTGACTTTCCCCCAAACTCATAATAGATCTGATGTAACTTGGATTAGAATTTACCCTTATTTGGCAATGTGGACTCGCTGTCTGTTCCATTTTTTTTCTGATTTGACTTGGAGATTATTAGCTGCTTGGCTGTTAATCATAATAACTCCACAGGTCACCGGAACGATGTGTCACAAAGTATCTTCACTGGTCTCTGTTTCTCCCCCACAGGTGACCACTAAAAGGTGAGCAGATGAATATTGGTAAAGGGAATTTACACAAAAGAAGATATTCTAAAGAGAAACTGAGTGACACTGATGGTAATTTCTTTCCAAGAATTTAAACTAGAAAACAGGAGACATTTTACAAACACGAATACACCTTTATGTTAAGTATCATTCTGTGGATATATTTGAACTAAAAGTTCTTGCCACGAAAATGTGGTTTGGTTGGACTTAATGGCTTGGAGCACAGCTGTCTGGAATGCCCTTCCCAGCCACCTCTTAAGGCTGGAAAACTCCTCTTCCTCCTCCAAAATCCAGGTTACCTTACACTTCCACTGTTCCCCCCAGGCAAACTTAAACACTCTTTCCTCTGGCTCCTACTGAGCTTTACATTCTGATTTGTAAATTCATCCTTTCATTCTAGCAACATTCATGAGCACTTACTATGTGTCAGACACTATTCAGTATACTAGTAATACAGCGGTGAACAAGACATAAGGGCCCTTAGAGCTGATGGTCTACTGGTAATATCAAGTACCATAGCTCCAGCGGAGTAAGGGGGTTCCCTGCCCTGGGCAGGTTCTCTGTGAATCCACTGAAACCTAAAGCAGACAAGGGGAAGGGCAGTTTGGGAGAAAGAGTTTTATTGCTCACAGCTCACTGGGGTTTGCTAGCCAGCCCTGCTCTGACCATCCCCTGTGGCCTTGCATGAACTGTTCTTCCCCCTGCCCACCACTTCCACAAGGAACTCCGTGGGCAGGTCCCTGGTGACTGGTGGGCACCAGACCAATTACATACCAGGAATGGAAGGGAAGAGAGAATGGCCATTTTCTCTCCACCCCTTGCCCCAGGCTCTGCAATGATAAACATCCATTGGTATGTAAATGGCACCCTTATCCACACACCACTATGGAAACTAGGTGGAATTTCTGGGTGGAAACTTCCATTTACCCCACAGGTACTGATTAAATAAATAATTATGAAATACAGTAAATTCCATAAAGGAAAAGTCCAAAAATACATAAGAGCATAAAATAAAAGGACAGAACTAGTTTAAAGGAGTGGGACTCAGGGAAGCCTTCCCTAAAGAAGTGACTTTTCAGCTGTTTGATGAAGAATGATATACAATGATGATATGTGGCCTCAATTAACAGAAGCTTTGAATCTAAAATAAGGAAATATTTTATGTCACAGAACATGAAGTCCAGGAGTAAGGCAGCCTCCTCACATCATATATCCCCAGTCCTATCTCTGTGTAGCTATCTTGGCTGTCTTCCTTCATGTGTGTGCTTCATCCTCAAGCTGGCAAAATGAATGCAGAAGTTCCAGGCATTATATCCAGATGTGACTAAATAAGGAGGAAAAAATAGACTGACTGATCCTATATCACTTTCTTGGAAGTATAGAAAGCTTTCCTAGAGCCCCTCTTATAGGATTCTCCTCATGCCTTCTCAACCAGAATTAAGT